GGTCACGGCATTCAGAACCGTTCGATCATTTATATATTGATCTTTCGTTTAATTCTGTCATCCCCGCCTTCACGCACACACACTCGCATGTCCTTCGACTTAGCAGGGAACGGACCATTAAATGGGGGCAGGGGATATCTCTGATTTGAACACTTATACTTGGTAGAATTATTTCCATAAGACTCAGTTTATGCCATTCATCTGAGACTCCAATTAAGCCGATGGAGTCCATATGTTTACTGGTGAAATTTCATACCATATCTAGGACCAACATGATAAAGGTGTGCAACAAAGTGACATAGCAATCGGAAACTAGGGTATTGTTTGGGGTATCTCTTTTCCGTTTGCTCTGTATAAAGCGAGGACACCACAAGTGACAAGAGTGACCAAGATCATGGTGTGATAAATGATCGAACGGTTCTGAATGCCGTGACCGTAAACAATGATAAGAAATAAAGCCAACTAATGATGACCAAGTCGGCGGGGTAATCGACGACGGCGCATGGTCGGAAGAGGACGCATACCGACACAGAGAGAAGGGGTCGATGGGTCAGCTCCCGAGATAGCTGTGCTCGTTGTAAGCTCTCCAGGTGTTGATGTAGCAATGGTGGAAGATGAGGAGGGCGGGAGGAAGATGTCATCCTGAGCACCTGTGGTTCTTTGTAAGTCGATAGGTTAAGTAATGTAAAAGTAGAACTCGCCCTCTCGGAATCCCATCTTCATGTTGTATCCTGGACTCTTCCAATCACCATCTTTCTGCGTTCCAGTAGTGACAACATTGTTTCCATCTAGCTGGTTCCAGAAGATCATTTGTTTCGGGCCTTGAACGCATCGAGCCTCGTCATCCTCACACCATTGGGGTGGCACGGCGGGTGCTAGGGGTGTGGTGCTTGTAGCTCCAGTGACTTTACACTTGTGAGGCATCATGTACATATTTGGCTCTCCGCAGTGATTGGGGACCCATCTGTATGACATGATGGTAATTTTTTTTAGAGATTCTTCATGGACAATTGATAGGATACTGACCCCCATACACAGTGACAGCCTTCCTCCGGACAAGCAGGAAGGGCAGCAGGTGCTCGATAGGTAGTAAGCAGCTTGAATGGTGTGCTATAGTCGTATTAGTGATGTCGATAGGTGCGGATAAATGAGGAAAGCTCACTGATAAGCGACAGTGAAAACGACCAAATTTTCAGGGGTCACGCGTTTGATATCACTCTGTTGTGTCGTCAATACTTTACCTAAATCACCAGGTCTTCGATACCCATACCTCATAAGAGATTGCAAAAACTGTACCGGCAGCCATCGTTTCGTTCTGAGTATGTACTAGTGATGTATTCAGTCAATACACGTCGCCATACCCCAAGGAGATCACATACAGTTAGGTGAAGGGATACAGCCTGAATTGGAGGAATTGGGTTCATCACCGAGGTTGGTGATCGAGTAATCGTCCGGGTGATTCTTGCCGTCTCCCCAAGCGGTAACAAGCCTTCCACCATATGAGTAATGAGTGAAAGCACGGTTGGTCGCAATTTCGACAGTGAAGTTTCCGCCAGCGGGTCTAGAGAGGAGCGGGTCAACCCGTTTGTCGAAAGAAGCTCAATCCCACTTACATTTCCAAAAACTTTCCTTGGGCGGGCGGAAATTCGTCGCACTGTATAGAGCATTAGCTGAAGCAAAGAGTATGGCTGGAAAGGCTATTCCTAACCTTGTTATTGTGGTGCACTGGGCAATGATTGATCGGTGAGCATTCGCGACAGCAGATGGAATCACTCACTCCACCACTCAGATTTGGGAAGGTTATAAAGTGGATTTACTGCATCATTGGTATTCTGGTTATCTTCACCGCTTGTACCCTTGAAGTCCGTGCGGTCAGTTGCAGGACAGTGCTCAGTAGAGACATACATTAAGACAGTACATCCCGTCCGTCCAGGCGGTCATGTGGGCGTTTATAACTGAAAAAAGGAGAGCAAGACATAGAAAGGCTTGCATAGCCGAAGGTAAAGGGCAAAAGAGTGACTCTGTTATACCCGGGTGTGAAAATATCAGTAACTCGGCCAGAACGTGATGGTGTGTTACTCACAAAGAAACGTGAAAAGAGGAGTAAAGAACGACTTGGTGAGAGGAGCCTGAAGAAAACCTGATCATGGTGTTCTCACCTCTTATAAGCTCCCGACGGTGGCACAGCGACTCTAGAATGTGGTATTCAAAGCGTCGCTAACCACACTCGTTTATGAGAACTTGCCCCCCGTTATCGGCCCAGCTGATAGCGAGAAGCTGAAGAGCCTTGAATAGTCCTGGGAGAAATGATGAGAGCGGCAGTCGCGCGCCCTGAAGCTAAGGCTGGGCTTGAGATGCAAAGTCTGACACCGGCCATTGGCTACAACAGCCAACTCTAAAGCTTGACGACAATTCCTGATGATTCCATACAGCCTCTGAATTGTAACCACAAGTATTTGGGCCTCATATCGGGTGCTGTACCTCACCACGCTTCTCGTTGGTCATCCCTCTACGATCCAATTACCACGCAAAAGGGTCATATGCGCGTTTCGATCAGCCGAGTATGGTTTTAGTTGCATTTGTCAATAAGAGTACCCTTAGCAAGCTGAAGACGGACTGGGTCGGGTCTCAACCGTCGATCGAATTCTTGCGAAGTTACTTCTGGTTCTGCCAGGCAGCACGCCAAATTCAACCACACACAAGCGGTCCGGATGATCTATCTT